AGATTCCTCACTGTTCTCCATTAAAATAACTTGTTGACTGAAGCAGCTGCAGACGATCATTTAATTTTGTACAGAAAAAGAGTCACATGACACCTTAAATGCCTCCTTTTATGTAAATGCACACAGATTTTGAAGCAGGAAGTCTGAGTTAAGTTGATAACTACCTTTGTGATACCTGTTGACTCTGACTGGAGCTTTCGTTTTTGTCAAGTGAACTTACACAAAGAAAGCCTGGCTATGTCAAACTTGCTTCATAGTACAGCCCTCTGGTTTGTAGCATCTGTGACATCTTCATGTCATCGTGCAACAGATGCATTTCAATGACAGTTCTGCCTAAATGTAAACAACATTTTTGAGAGTATTATCTAACAAGCAAAAATGCCAAACATGTCTATTCAACAGGAGATCCTGGGTCAAAATCCCAGCAGTGCCGTTAATGTTTTTCTTGCCAGACATGTCTTTACTAAATACAGTTTTAGCAAAAATGCCAAACATTTGTTGATCTAAACTTTTTAAATTAACCAATGTTAGAACTTGCCCCAGCAAATTTTGACTTTGTTGAGTTTATTTTTACTTTGTCTGAAACACTGTATGAAGACGCTGTGGCTTAGTTGGTTAAACCACCTGTCTTGTAAACAAGAGATCTGGGGTCTGAATCCCAGCAGTGCCTTGAATTCAGTCTTTACTGAATATAGTTTCATGTCATAGTGTAACAGATGCAATTTAAGAAATCGTCTGTGAATTTAAAATATGAAAACTTTTGAAGGTGTAATATCCATCAAGAAAAAAAGCAAAACATTTACAGAATTTAATGTCGCTTCTTAATAACAATTCAGATGTTTGCAGAAGGTGCTGTGGCTTAGTTGGTTAAAGTGCCTGTCTAGTAAACAGGAGATCCTAGTCCAAATCACAGCAGTGCCTTTATTTCTATCTTACCAAACAATCTTTACTGAATATTGTTTCATGTCAAAGTGTAATGGATGCACTGCAACAAAAGCTCTGTGTATAGACTACTGACATTTTTAAGGTAGTTTATCTATCAAGGAAAAATGCAACCATGTGCTTATTCCAACTTCACGTCCTAACAACAATTTTTACTCAGATGTGTGGTGTTGCAATGTCAAAAGGCGCTGTGGCTTAGTTGGTTAAAGCGCCTGTCTAGTAAACAGGAGATCCTGGGTCCGAATCTCAGCAGTGCCTTGACTTCTATTTTGCATCTGTCCTCCTATTAACAATCTTAATTCACATCTTTACTAAATGCAGTTTCATGTCAGAGTTTAACAGATGTATTTTAAACAAAACATCTGTCTAAATGTAAACTATGGATTTTTTGAAGGTTTTTTACTTTTCAAGCAAAAATGCCAAAGATTTGCCAATTTAAACCCCTTCAATAAGATTTTTCTTGAACTTTGTTTTCAGTGGTTTTCAGAGGCGCTGTGGCTTAGTTGGTTAAAGCGCCTGTCTAGTAAACAGGAGATCCTGGGTTCGAATCCCAGCAGTGCCTTTTCAGGCTGAGATGTAGTGAACTCTGCCCCTGTTCTTGCAATTCTTGTGCAAGAGGTGTGTAATGGACTCTGCTCCTGTTCACACCTGGCATTAGCATGTGTCCTGGACAATCGCAGGTGTCATTGCATTGACATCTGAAACCCAGATTGCCGCTGCATGTGTTCCTTGTTTGTTAGAAATGTGAATGTGTCCTAAGTCGCACTGAAGTGTCATCTACTCAATTGACGTTTTCTGTGTTAGTGGAGATTCGTATGCATTTATTCTCTAACTGACAAAAACTTTTAGAGAATATTATAGTGTACAATTTGGATTTTTCTCTATGCTGTCCAATGCATTAGACAGTTGACAGGATGGTCAGTTATGACTTAGGTAAATTGTGGCAATATGTGATGGGCAGTAAACATTTTAGGTGTATTATTTGTAGTCATTTCTCATATGGTATTTCTTGTGAACAAAGTGGAATGTTACTTTTTGCATAGATTTTAAAAGACCTGCCCCGTGTGAGGCTCGAACTCACGACCTTCAGATTATGAGACTGACGCGCTGCCTACTGCGCCAACGAGGCCTGTCTCAGCATGTACATGTGCACGTCAACATGCGTTCTAGAGGACAGACTCAATGCTAAAGGCCACCAGTGGACTCATTGGTGTGATCAGGGGAGGGTGCGTGTCGTATTTCAGCCGACAAGCACGGGGTGGGGGGAGCACACTAAACACACGCTCCAGCCTCTTGCAGTGGATCATTAACACGGCAGTGTCCCTCTGTGTGGGATTTAAAGCTGAATAGTTTAGTCATTTAGAATTTCCAATGTATATTTACAGCTATTAAACCAAGAAACCTAAAGCCGACTGTTTGGAAAACAGACTGAACACAGCAGCTTTAACACAAAATGATGCCTTGGGAAAGGTTTGACAAGAAGCACTGCCCTATTTGTTTGGGCTGTAATTAGTACAGAGAGATTTGGCGGTAATTATGCTGTCTACGCTTACAGTAAGTGTTGTCTTCCTTTCTGTGTCTTCCTCCACTATTCCCCTTCGCTGTTGTTGCTTGATTGTAGCTGTTAACAGTCTGCTGTATAGGGTTTATTTAAGACAGCACTGGTTTGGTGCCTTGAAGTTACAATAAAATGTAGTACAACAAATAGAAGGGCACTTATTATTACAGCAATCAACACAGTGTACATCCTTGGGCTACGGAAATTCAGTGCTTTTTCAATAGATTATCTAAACGAAAAGGCCTAGAACATTGTTAAAACAGCCAGAGGATAGTGACATTCTATTTTTTTAAGCTGTGGTATTTTAACATCCAGCTAAACAAATACTATTCACTGGTAGATATTTTGATTGTAAGTGGGAACCAGGCCTCGAGTCAAAAAATGGTTTCTTCTTGAATTAGGTTAATTTTAATTGTGCACTATAACACTAGAAGAATACAGACTATTTCTTGTAACAAATAATTCATATCAACAGTTATTCAAAACGAACAATTTTTATGCCTGTCTGTGTTTCTGTGTTTTTTACGTCAATGCCAATCTATAAAGAAAAAAATGTCTGCCCTGTAGTCTTCTATTTTCAGTGAAGGCTTGTGTTGTGTTTGAATAAAGCTGAAACCACAAGTCGGTCCTATTGATCTGTGTTCCTGTCACTGCACTGACCTGAACATTTTCTTTTGCTAAAGGATTTTAAAATGGCCCAGAAATGGCACTTGTTAACCAAGATGAATTGTGAACGTAGCCACTGTGACATCACCCATTGGCCTGTAAATGACATTTTGAAGCCTGGAGGTGGTATATTAGCTGTTGACATCTTGGTTTTTATTATTTTAGTATATTTGGATAAGAGGTGAAACTTGAGAAGATATGAATTGCAAGGTAGCAACACCTGACTTTAAATGGGTCCATCATTTACAAAATAAACACCATGCTGCATTAGAGAAGACTTAAAACTAGGAAGTGAGACTATAAACTCATGAGGAAAATCTTTAGTGAGGTAATAAATCAAGTGGGAAGTAGAGCAATTTTCTCATTGACTTCTATACAATTGAACGTATTTTTTTTTGTTTTTAATTTTTTTTTTTTTTACAACCACAGGAGTTTCCCCATGTTGACTGCAAGAAAGAATGCAGGTGTAAGGAACTTTGGTTTTGGCTTCACTTTTCAGACCCAGAGACTACATTTACTTCTTGTATACAGTTGATAGCATTACCACCTTACAGCATGAAAACTTGTTTTAAAAAGTAATAATAATACAAAAAAAAAATCTTATTTTGCCCTTTTAAGTAGGCTTGCCATGACACTGTGGCTTAGTTGGTTAAGTTGCACTAGCAAATTTTTACTTTGTTGACTATATTTTTACTTTGTTTAAAACACTGTATGACGGCGCTGCGGCTTAGTTGGTTAAAGCGCCTGTCTAGTAAACAAGAGATCCTGGGTCCGAATCTCAGCAGTGCCTTGAATTCTATTTTGCGTCTGTCCTCCTAATAACAATTTTGATGTACATCTTTACTAAATGCAGTTTCATGTTAAAGTTTAACAGATGTATTTTAACAAAAGATCTGTCTAAATGTAAGCTTTGGAATTTTTGAAGGTATTTTACCTATCAAGCAAAAATGCCAAAGATTTACCAATTTAAACCCCTTCAATTCGTTGATTTTTGTTGAACTTTGTTTGTAGTGGTTTTTGGAGGCACTGTGGCTTTTGGAGGCGCTGTGGCTTAGTTGGTTAAAGCGCCTGTCTAGTAAACAGGAGATCCTGGGTTCGAATCCCAGCAGTGCCTTTTCTCCTGTCCCGTAATGTTGTACTTCTCTCACTGTGGAGTGGTTTGTGACTGCTGCAAAACAATCTTGTAAACATAATCAGAAACAAACATTTCTAATAAATCTCAATAAAGAAAATGCTTTTGTACCTGTTGGGGTCATCCCCGCTATAGATGCCACTTTGTTCATTCAGCTACATGGCCAGTATACTTATCTGTCTGTGTAATCGCAGTTATGTTGTTCATTCTGCGCATTCCTGTGCTGTGATAAGAGCTTCCACTGTCTCTGCTGCCAGGATGTTTTGTGGCGTTGAGAGCGAGAGAAAAGTTTGAACTAGTTTGTACTTTTTGTGGGTCAGACATGGAGCAATTATTTTTAGAAAGAACTGTCGAGCAATGAAGTAACAATGCAGCGACAATGGTGGTTCCTTCCTTGCATGATGTTGTGGTAGCCAAGTTCTGGGATGCTAAAGAGAGACTGTGTATAATTGCTATATTTGTGGTTTCTTTAATTACAGGAATACATGTTAATGGAAAACATGAGACTCATCTTTATTTACTTCTCCTATGATACAAAACACGATATAGAGTATATTTGATTATAAAATGTATATGATAGGAAATATGTGTGTGTAGTGTGTGTTACCCATTGTGGTATACAGTGTATGGTACGAATATTTCTATAATACCTCATCACACCCTGTAGACATTTCTAAGCAGTCTCTGTCTTTCTCTCTCCAGGAGCTACAGTCTGAAGAAGGGACAGCTGGAGCGAGACTATGCACAGGTAAGACTGGCTGAACTCTTTTTGGACATACGTCACTGAGTTGTCGAGTTGCTGATGTGGTCAACTCTCCTGTTGTAGTTTGTCACTTTAGTGATTCTACCGTATCCCTGTGGCTTAGGTGACTAATGTGCCAGTGTATTAAAAAAGAGGTCCTGGGTCCAAGTTCCAGCTGTACTTCTTCCACAGACAAGTGCAGTTGCACCTGTGGACCAATGGAGTGCAAAGTGTTAAGTCCTAAATTACCCAAAGGCTGCTGATGGGACAGGTTTTGTAAAGTTTCGCTTTGAGCTACACAACCTGAACATGGCATTTCAGACATGCTACCATGGTGCTTTGGCTGAGGTGGTTAAAGTGTTTGTTTTGTAAACAGAAGATTTGGGGTTTGTGTTCCAGCAGTGCCTTTCCCCCAGTTCAGCTGAGTAGAGGAGTCTTGCTGAGGAAGCTGTTGTGTGAATATGACCCTTTCTTGAGGAGCGGGATCAAGTGGGTTAGTTTTACTGGCAGCTGCTAGCTTCTCTGAAACTGATAAGAAGCTAGGCAGACTCCAGGGGTTCTTGCTTGATTTCGTGGTACTTCTCGACAACTTAACAAGTATTAATCAATGCCCATGTGAGTGTTCCATTTCATATTGACATTCCAGTGTCAAAGGCTGCCTAGGTACTAATTAACATGTGAAACTACGACTGCCACAATGCCAATCTGTTCTGTCTGATAGGTGGTCATCTTAAATCCCCAACATGGCTGTTTTCTATGTCCTGTTTACGTGGCAGTACTTTAGCACACATGTTAGTGTTCGGTGTAAACAGGGCTAACTTCACTACATCTCAGCCTGAAAAGGCACTGCTGGGATTCGAACCCAGGATCTCCTGTTTACTAGACAGGCGCTTTAACCAACTAAGCCACAGCGCCTCCCAGCACCATTTAAAAATCAATGAATTGAAGAGGTTTAAATTGGCAAATGTTTGACATTATTTGCTTGAAAGGTAAAAAAAAACCTTCAAAAAATGCATAGTTTACAGTTGCGAACCGGCAACCTTCTTGCTGCGAGGCAACAGTGCTACCAACTGTTTGTGCGAGATATAAACTATGGAAAACTTGAGCAAAAATTCCAAACATGCCTTGTCCAACTTCTTAAATAACAAACATTGGAAGTTGTGCTGGCGAATTTCGACCTTGTTGACTTGTTTTGAGGTGAGGTTAGAAGGCGCTGTGGCTTAGTAGGTTATAGTGCCTGTCTTGTACACAGGTGATCCTCAGTCTGAATCCCAGCAGTGCCTTGAGTTCTGTCTTGACATATATATCTTTACTAAATACAAATTTTTGTCTTTGTGTAACAAATGCATTAATTGTCTAAATGTGAATTTTTGAAGTTATATGTATTAAGAAAAAAATTCCAAACATTTCCACAAGTCCACGTCATAATAACAAATTTGATTCAGATGTGTTATATAATAATGTTAGAAGGGCGGTACTGTGGCGTGGTAACATGTTGTCCATGGATGTTTTTTTAAAGACTGCATTATATCTTTACTAAATACAGTTTCATGTCAAAGTGTAGCAGATGTGCGATAACAAATGATCTGTGTAAATGTAAACTATGGAAATGTTTCATGGTATTTTATCTAGCAAGTAAAAATGCTAAACATTTGCTGGTCCCAACTTCACTGTTATGAAGTTCCGTTTTGAGCTCAATTACATAAACAATGCTTCTTAACACACCATTAACATGGTACCCACACATTCCTTTTATAAACTGTGTAACACTGTCCTTTGGCTTAGTTGGTTAAAGTGCCTGTCTAGTAAGCCAGTCCTCAGTTCAATCATAAGACAATCACCTTAAAGGCGTCTTTAGGCTGGAACATTCTATGCTAAGCTTAGTGGCAATTATTGAAGTTTGGGTTCTAATACCAGCATTACCTTTACTGCAGTCTAGTGGAACTGTTCTGGTGCGCCAGTGGAAGGCGAATGTAAAGTGGTGTCCCTGTATTCTGGATGTAAAAGGCTGCTCTACTGAGAAACATTAATTCCCATCCCTGCTGCGTTGCACCTCCACCTCTTGATATTTGACTCAACTGCTGTGCAAATGTAAATAATGTGATGCTCTTGCTTAAAATATGTACAGGAAAATCTTAAATGCAGTTTGTAATACTTGTAATGAAGCCTTGAAAGGTTATCCATATTACTTTACGTCATTTATAATTGTGAAAACAAGGTAAACATAAATAGCTTGAAAAATAATGTTGAGGTATATATTGTATAGCTATATCCCTGTTTGCAACATCTCCCCAATCTGTGAAAATGAGAACGTATACTAGATTACTGTAACTAGGACAAATGTGATTTAAATAAGATTTAAAAGGAAATGCATACTGTGTTTGCAGTCAGATTAAGTCAAGTGCTTTCTAAAATGGGGAGGACTGATTTCTTTTTGAGTCATTCTTTAGATGAATATAAAACTCACATATGTGCTCCAGGCCACATTTGGTTTCACTTGCCTTATTCCTGTTTAGTTATCTGCAGATGTTTCAGTGTTTCTTTTCCCCTCTTTCGTTTGGGTTCTCAGCTTCATGAAATGCTGCATACTAATTGTGAAATTTATAAGACAGCAAAGGGTTTTTGCATGGAAATAAGTCTTATATCCACAGAGCTATTGATTATGTAGCCTTTGTTTTTAATGTAATTCTTGTCACTACTAATTCTAACTAGCAAGAATCCCTACAATACTTTAGTAGCCTTTGTAGATTTTTTTTTAATAGCTAGACTTTCCATCTTAAAACCACCTGATGGTCTTTGTGTTGGTTCATACAGATTATACATAAAATCTCTCTTCTTTTTCTTCCTGAAACCAGGTGGACCTAAGTAACTGAGCACTCATTCACTTACTCTTAGATAACAATGGATTGTTTTTTTTTGACATTCAGTAAACAGTATGGTCAATCAGGTAATAATAAACACAATAGACAGATCAGTTCATAACGAAATCCCCATTTCCCTCCTGGTTTTACGTCCCGGAAAGTGTAAGCTATCTCTACTGCTTTGAAATGCTGCTCTGTCTGAGTACTTTTTAAAATGCTACTAAACAAGGCAAAGAGATTGATTTACATGAAGCGAAGATAGTTTTGGCTGAAGGGCTGGATCATCATTATTCAGACTTGAGGGAAGTAGGAGATATTTGCAAGTGTTTGTATTTCTAAGCACCTCTTAAGGGTTTATTGTGTCAGCGGGCAAAAAATATGGGAATTCAAATTTAAAAACCCGTCGTGCTTTGAAATAACACAGACGTAAAGATATAATAGGGGCATGATGTTTGAGGTGCAGGTCAAATATGATCCAGGAAGTCCAGTCCAACATGATGCCAAAGCATCGCACAGCAGTTGCCGATGCACACAGACACTAACTATTTTCTCTCGGTACGTCAAACCTTCAATTTAAATGATGGCGAGAGCTGCGTTTTTTCACACAGTTTTGAACTGCTTCCATACCATTAAATTATTTTCATCCATAAGGCAGGCACTTTGTAGTCTGCTGCTGATTTGTCAGGACTCACAAAACAAAAATATATTTCCCAGTAGAAGGCTGCGTCAGCATATTCATGTTACTAAGCATTAGTTGAGTAGTGTAAGTAGAAACCAAGCAGTGGTCGCTGCCAACAACGTGAAAGTCTGTGTGATTTCTATTGTATTTGATGTTGCTCAGCTTAAGCTCCCATCATATTCACATTCACACACATGGAGACACTCAGCTGCAAAATCCTCCTGTAGCTTAATGAAAAACATTCTAATACATAACCCATCCAGCTCTTAAGTACATATTACCATACAGATATTCATTCTATGCAGCTGTCCACACAAATAACCCTTGTTTTGTAGCCCTAATATCCTCATCATACATATACACATGAGAGGATGAGTGTAGAAGATGGGTAGAGCGGGGAGGGTAGGAGGAAAGGCGCTTGTTTGAGCATGTGTGTCTTCATTTGCATGTGGTTTGAATGATTAAGTGAGAGTTTCCTGTGGTCAACCCCCCCGGTTTCAGACCCTCATTATCTCCCTCTCTCACTCACTCTGCCTTGCTTTCTCTCTGTCTCTCACTATTCTCCCTCAGCACTCTCTTGTTCACCTTAGAAATAGAGGTTGCCTAGCAACAACCCCCCTACTCAGTAGGACAATGGATTCCCTCCTAATTGTAGGTGTGCGTTTGTGTGGGAATGTCTGAGTACAGTGGCGTTTTTATTTATTTATTTATTTTATAAATGCATGATGAATGAGAAATAGATTTTGTTTCAAGATCCGATAAGCAAACAAATTCTTTGCCCCCCTTTATCCCGTCACAGTAGGATTTTGCTACGGCACGTCTGCCCTTGGCTCTTGTCTCTCTTACCGCTAGACACTCAGGTAGCAGACCACTGGCAGTTGTTCAGGAAAATGGTGCCAAGCCGCTACTCCGAAAGAGAGGAAAGAGAGAGAGGGAAGCTTTCAGAGACATTCGGGGAGGCAGGAAAAAGAAATCGACATGAGCATTTAACAAAATAGAGAGAGAAAGCTTGAGAGATAGGCCAGTGGGGCGGTGTAGGAGGACAACAAAGTGAGAAAGAAAATGAAGATGCTGTCGTTTAACCTTTGTCCTTTCGCTGTGTCAAACCAGACGTCCCCTCTGTGAAGGAGCCAGCTTCAATTACCAGTCGTCAATCAAAAAGCTCCACGTTGTCTGAGTGTGCGAGTGTGTGTTGGCATGTGAGTGTTAGCTATTTGTCCCATATTCCTCTCCTACGACATTACTGGAATAGTTTTGAGCTGGGGTCACACTTGACTGTACTGCCCAAAAAGGCCTGACTGCTGAGGCTGCTGCTGTGTGTCCCTCTGTGCACCCGTAGTGTACTGTTACATGTAAATCAGCCTTAACATCATGGCTGATTTCATCTTATGTAAGTTCTAAAATTACATTTTGAATTCTTAGCTTCATTTTGTACATCAGATCTGAAATAGTCTATACAACAGATA